AGACTGAAGAACCAAAGGACAGCAACTTGTCTGTTCCCCTTCCCCCAATTCCCCAGCGCTGTTCCCATCCCCCAATTCCCCAATAAAATCTTTTTTTAAAAAAAGTAATCAGTTGGTAGCTTCCTCTTCTGGATTTGGAGGTACCAGGGAGAGGCTATGCTACAAAGTGAGGCCTACTGCCACTATTGCGGGGGGGTGCTTAAGAAGATATTCAGGTCATGCTAAGGCCAGTCTCTGCTTCTTTGGGGTTTGTGGACCTTTCAGAGATTTTAGGAAAGTCCACAGTGTGGCCTGAGGCTGGAAGTTTTTTAGGAAAAAGGTTCTGGCTGGTGTGTGGGTTGGGTAGGGCAGGTTCTCAGGAAATCACCAAGGTGGGCGAGTTTGATGGAGACTCAGATTTTGTACCTACCTGCAACTGCAGGCTGTGTGTGGGGAGGACTCAAGAAAAAAACAATGACACCTGCCAGCAGTTTAGTCCTGAAGAGAGCTGCCCCTCCAGCCTCTTCCTGAAGCCAGACAATTTAGTTTCTCCCAGTATGTCCCTGGTGCTTTTTAAGCTGCTGCCCCAGTGCTGGAGCTCTGAGCAAGTGAGTCGGTTCACAAATAAGTCCCTATGAGGGCCCTTTAAGAGGAACACCTGGGACTCCAGCAGCCCTCTTTGTCTCCCTGATGGAATTCCCATTGATTTTCACAGCCACATGTTGTGGGGAATCCTCTTCCTGGCACTGGTGGTTGGGGCTGGGGAGCCTGGTATGGGGTTGGGACCCCTTGCTCCTTAGGGGGGACCTCCAAACCAAGATATCCCTCCCAATTCTTAATGCCACATGTGGTGTGAGACCAGCTTGTTTCATGTTTCCGCCCCTCCTACCAGTCTTAGTGTGGCTTCTTTATATCCTTAGTTATAGGAGTTCTGTTCAACTAGTCTTCAGGTGGTTTTCAAGGGTGGCTGTTTTATAATTTAGTTGTAATTTTGATGTGGTCAGGGGACGAGGTGAACACAGCATTTACCTACTTTACCATCTTGATTGGATATTCTATACACTTTAAAAGGGTGAATTTCATGATATGTGAATTATATTGCAATAAAAATCCACCAGACTGAGAAATTTTATCATACAGATAGAAACATTTAGTATCTAAAATATATATGAAGGAAGTTACAAACAACTAAGTTCAATATCTAGACTCTACAAAGCAAAGAACTGTACCATTCATATAGAATGAAGCAAAAAGTAGAGATTCACATGAAAAAATTCACAGGCTCACTAAATGGTAATGGAATAAAACACAGGTAAAATTCCATTACATCTCTACCAAATCAGCAAAAAAAAAAAAAATTTAAATGTCAAACATTACTTTGGGCATGAAACATTTTAAAATTTTTTGGGAGGATTTTATGGCCAACTGTAATAAGTGTTATCAAATAGTTCACATTCTGGAGCCATTTTAGGAATAACAGGAGAAAAAAATGTGTATAGGAAGGTGGTGGAACATATACACAAAGCTGTCTGTGAAAACATTATAGCAAAGGATAATTGGGAGTAACAAATGACAAACCATGGGGAACAGCTAAGCAAATAAGTCATGTGAACTGTGTTGGAATGTGAATTATGCACATAGAACAAAGCTCCATGAAGACAGCAAAACGTGTTTGGTGCTCTGGTCACAGCCATGGAGAACCTGAGTCCAATCTAGGCGCTTATGTGAAGATGTGGAAAGAGGAGTTGCGGTAGGAGGTGTTTGGAGTTTAATCTTCATTTAATTCGTTTTTTCCCTTTACATCCCATCTCTTTACATATCTTTAAATGGGGGGCAATAAAGGGAACATCTGTGAACTAGAGCACCTAATATTCCACAGGCCCACAGATTTTCAGATACAGATCAGGACAGAATTCAACATTTGGAGTATGTGTCAAATGTTTTTTTTTCCACAACAGCCCCATCTCTTTCATGGCATTCAGTAGGGAAATGGGATCTCACAGTGATCAACCAAGTGGCAACAAATGGGTTTGTCATCAAACTTTCTAATCAATTTATTTGTGAGGACCAGCCAATACCTTTAAAATCCATAGTTTATTAATTCAGGTACAAAAATATTTTATAACAATCCAGTATGCTTGGTTTTTTTTCCCTAGTGCATTCAGTGAGGCCCCAGTAAACCCACTGGACAGATGGTGAGAGGATCCATGTTCTTCCCTCCATCATGTGTCCCAGGGCTGAAGATAGGTTGAAGGGGCCCAGAAGAAGAGAAGCTAGTGAATGTGTAGATGTGGGATTTGGCTGTCACATTGTAAAAGGAAATGTCTCTAGCGTTATAGTCCAGGAAGATGCCCACACGCCTGGGGGGCTCCCTCATCTTCAGGCGGGTCGGGGGAAAGGTGCACACCTGGTAGTCATTTCGCTTCATCATCACCACCCAGTAGCCACTCTCTGGTGACAAAGTCATGCTCCCCTTTTTGCTTGTGGATGCCTCGCAGATGCCCAGGACCCACCCTGTCTTGTCTCCCACCTCCACTTCCCAGTAATGGCGGCCAGAGAGGAAGTTCGGAGAGCCCAAGGCCATGATGCAGTTATCAAATCTTCTGGGACTGTCAGGCAGATTGTCCCACTTGTTTCCAAGTCTCACACTCTTCAGGTCATCAGAGAAAATGAGGTTGGGATGGGCGGTTTCTGCATCCAAAATCACATTAACTGCAGAGAGAATTAGAATACCTAGCTGGGGGTCCATGGGAAACATTCCCACAGATTCTCCCTACCTCCAGGAAACAGGGCTGTTTTGGAATGCAAGGGACAGCACAAGGACCCATCAAGCCAAGGCCATTTGCCTTGATCTGGGCACTTACCAGCATGTGCCTGAGCAGCAACCAATTCTGGAACTACAGAGAAAAGAGATGGGGGAAAAAAATCCTCAGCATTCCCCTCATTTCCCTGGTCCCCAAAACAAGGAAAGACAAGGATCCCCATGCTCAAGACCCTGATTGCTCTGCTTGGATATAACCCCATTTCTCCCAGGAACATGGGTCTACCCTGAAGACTCTGTGGTCTGATGAGTTGACCCAGCCAAATGAGCCTGGCACAGAGCCTGTGAGGACCTGTCATGACCTTTCTTTGCCTTTGTTACAGGTTTCTCTCTCTTCTAAATAATGGCCCAGAAATCAATAGTATAAGAGAATATCACAGTAACGCCTGTTCAGCACATGACCACCACCATACTTACCATTGAAGGTTTCCATTTCTGAACGCAGGGTTTCTAAAGGGAGAAAGGGAGCTAGAGTTAAGTTCCTGGCTAGGGACATATCAGGGAGAGGCTGAAGGCAGAGTCAGAAGGCCAGGAGAGGTGGAGAAGGGATGCCAGGGTGCTCTGGGCTACATGGATCTCAGGGAGAAGCAAGCAGCCACCTCCCAAGCCTACCTACCTGAGAAGCGCTGCATGCTCTTCTCCACAAACTCTGATTTCTGGTAGAGCAGGTGGAACTTTTCTTTCACCTCTGGAGGGGTGGTCCATGGCTCAGGGATAGTCACTGACTTGGCCCTAGAGACAAAACAATGTTGTCCAGAGAGGGCTGGAGCATGGGAGTGGCCTAAGGTACCATGAGCTAGGAGGGAGGTGCAGCCTCCACAGGGCATATACCCAGCTTAGCCTGGGCATCGCAAAGGAAGTCCTCCCTGGACTTCAAGTTCTAAATACTGGTCCTCAACTTTGGCTATGGATTCGCACCACCTGGGAGTTTTAAAAACCACTAATATTTAAACCACAAGGAGTTTTAATAATGGCCTTAAAATGGTACTGATATTGAGATGCTCAACCCAGAATTATCTATGTCAGATTCATTACACTTACCGAGTCTTTTTCTTTCTATTGAAATAAAAATGATAATAGATGAGGAAAAAAACCACAATGAGATGCTACTTCACACTCATTAGGATGGCTATTTTTAAGAAAAAACTAAAAATAACAGTGTTAGCAAGAATGCGGTGAGATTGGAACCCTTGTGCATTGCTGGTGGCAATATAAAATGGAGCAGACATTGTGGGAAATAGTATGGTGGTTCCTCAAAAAAACTGAACATAGAATTACCATATGATAGAACACTTCCACTTCTGGGTATATACCCCAAAAGAATTGAAAACAGAGACTCAGATATCTCTGTACCAATATTCATAGCAGCATTATTCACAATAGCCAAAAGGGGGAAGTGTCCATTGGTAGATGAATGGATAAACAAAATTTGATATATACATACAATGGAATATTATTCAGTCTTAAAAAGGAATGAAATTCCAACACATGCTACAATCTTGAAGCCATTATGCTAAGTGAAACAAGCCAGACACAAAAGCACACATATTTTATGATTCCACTTACATGAGGTAGGTAGAGTAACCAAATTCACAAAGACAGAAAGTAGTGGTGGCTGGCCAGGGGTTGGGGGATGGCGAAATGAAAATTTGTTTAGTGATATGAAATTTCCATTTGGGAAGATGAAAAAGTTCTGGAAATGGATGGTGGTGATAGTTGCACAATAATGTGAATGTACTTAATGCTACTGAATGTACACTTAAAAATGGTTAAAATGGTAAATTTTATGTTATGTGTATTTTACCACCAAAAAAAAAAAAGACTTAAAAAAATTTGTTCTTGGATTGCGCTACTGAAGATTTAGATTTAATTAATCTGCCAGCCAGGGCCTGGATGTCAAGATTTTGTAAAGCTCCTAGGGTGATGAAATGTCCGGTTTCCTCCCCCGCCTGCTGGGCTTAGCAGCTTGACTCCTCGAAAGTGCTTTCCTCCCTGAGGCCACAAACACTTGTGCAGGAACAGTTTTCATGCGGCGAATCGCATAGGACACAATCTATTAGGGACGTTTCCTAGGCAGCCGCAATCAGCATGGCAGGCTGTGTTCATTCTTTCTAGTCTTCAACCCCATGCGCTCCCGCCTGGTCATGCTCCTGTTTTCCCTACACAAATCCAGGAAGGCTTTTGTTGCTGCAGGAGATGGGAGGAGCCTGAGGAGGAGTCCCACACTCAGGGTTGGGAGCATCTCCCTTCTAGGACTGCCTCCCCAAATACTCCCTGCAGGACTCTCAAGGGAATGCCAGGGGATCTCTCGGTACCTGTGCAGAGTGACTCCAATGTCCTACGAGAGAAAAGAAGGAAGCTCTCCATTACCAGTCTCCTAGGGTCTGCACTGAATACTAGCCTCTCTTCCTGGACTCCCGGCCCCAGGGTATCAGCAGTTTGGGGGCACCTCTCCCCAATTCGAACCCTAATTACATGAGGTGGCAGCCCAGCCAGGGCCCGCAACAGAACTGCACCCATTCCCTGCTTATCTCTTCTGGGACATGCAGGGAGATCGCCTGGATTCTGGGCCACCCTGGGCTCCTGAGAGCTCATCAAAAGGGTCTGGGCACAAGAGGCATTGTGAGTCACCAAGACCAAGTCCCACCCTTGGCCCCAAGGGCCTCACCCACTGGCTTGGGAAGAACTGGTGGCAGTACTGGGAGCCCATGTCATCCTTCTGGGCACAGCAGACAGGGCAAGGCCAGGTCCAGCCACACTCACCTGCAAAAGCTCCCATTCTGACTGGCACTGTTTGGCCTCCAGGTCTTCAATCAACTCGTCGAGAAGGGCGATGTCCCTGGACACTCGGGTGACATATGTCTCCCTGACCTGGCCAATGGTCTGGCCCACCTCCTCCAGCCAGGCCACAAAGAGCTGCTCTTGCTGTTCCAGAAACTGGCACAACTGCTCCAACTGGTACCGGACTCTCTGCTTCTGGATTTCAGTTTGTTTCTAGGAATGGGACAGGAAGGGATAGAGGTCTGTGCGTAAACTGGATGTATGTGCCCACGGAATCCCCAGAAGCCCACCTCCTGGAGGTAGATAAGGCTTCATCAGCCTCTTGGAGGCCTGGATTCCAGATCAGGAGGCAAAATGGGCCAGAATCTTCCACAACAGCTGAGGGTAGAAGGGGATGGCTCTTGGAAAATGCCCTAAAGCCTAGTGTTAAGGATTCAATTGTATTCCCTCCAAAATTCATATGTTAAAGTCCTAACCCCCAGTACCGGAGAGTGTGATCTTATTTGGAAACAGGGTCTTTGCAGATGTCATTAGTTAAGATGAGGTCATACTGGAGTAGGGTGGGCCACTGGAGTGGGGAAATTTGGACAGATGTATATACCGGGAGAACAGCATGTGAAGAGACACGGGAAAGATGGCCATCTACAAGCTGAAGAGAAAGGCCTGGAACATGTTCTTCCCTCATGACTCTCAGAAGGAACCAACCCTGTCAACATCTTGATTTTGGACTTCTAGCCTCCAGAACTGTGAGAGAATAAATTTCTGTGGTTTAAGCCACTCAGTTGGTGATACTTCGTTATGGCAGCCACTGGATGCTAAGATACCTGGGGTTACCTTCTTCCTTCCTTGAAAGCCAATGTGATGATGGCATATGCCTGGGGTCATAAATGGACAAGATTATGACCACTGAAGTCTCCAGGAGGGAAACTTCACTTCTTGCCCCCACCCCAAAGTGCTGACATGCAGAAGGTTCTCAATATGGCTCTGAATGGGGATGGTCAGTCCAATTTGGATGTAAGTGAACTTGACTTATGAGTATACTGCCATTGCACACTGGTCAACCATTAACTCTTCTATTGACCTGTTTCTCATCATCACTAGGAAGCTTCTTTAGCAAGGTGAAGTGGCTCTGGGGCACCTTTTTCTTCCTCCAAGGAGGGAGAGGGCCCTTCAGATCCAGTAAGACTAGTGGTCTTAAGAAGTCTCATTGGTTTTGGTTCAAAAGGACAGGACTAACTTTAGTTATTTTTATTTTTAAAAAATATTTTATTGGGGAATTACGGGAGGGGAACAGCGTTGGGGAGTCAGGGAAGGGGAACAGACAAGTTGCTGTCCTTTGGTTCTTCAGTCTAGTTGTGGAGGGCGTCGCTTCCACTGGCCCATGTTGGTATTATCATTGCGCTCTTCCCGGCTGAGGCAGATCAGTCGCCGGCCACTGGACGGCTGCTCACGGTGGCTCTTGGTAGCTCAGGCCGGCTGCCAGCCACTCACGGTAGCTCTACGGCAGCCCACTGCTGCCTCATTGCAGCCTACACCGTCGCTGGTGACTCACGGGCAGCTCAGCTCCAGGTTGAGCTGTTGTTTACCATCTTAGCTATAGAGGGTGCAGCATCACTGGCCCTAATGTAGGATCTGAACCAGGGCCCTGCTGCTCAGAGCTGGGGCTAAGCCAGCTTTTAACCAATGTGCCATTCGTCCAGCCCCTAACTTTAGTTATTTTAAGCCAACTGTATCTCCTCACTTTTTGTTGTTGATGGCAGTAACATTGACTTTTTTTTTTTTTGAGGACAGGTCAGTTGTCTTGTTCAGTGGCCTATTCTAAAATTGTCTGATAATTTTGCTCATGATTAAATTCAGGCTAAGCATTTGGGTAAGAATACCATATGCTTATGTTTTTTGTTTTGTTTTGTTTTGTTTTTTTAGCTGAGCCATCCTGCTACCTGTTGGCAGCTCAGCGGCTGCTCAGCTCGGGCTGGACTCGACCGCTGTTGCTCAGAGCTCAAACTCTTGAGTGAGCTCTTAACCAACTGAGCCACTCAGCCGGCCCTCCATATGCTTATGTTTAATGCTGTGGTCTTAATAGCACATCTCATGGAGAGCTAAAGAATGTCTTTTGTCCATCACCATTATTGTGATACTAGGATCGGTTGCTTGGTTAAGGAAGGGTCTACCAGATCTCTCCATTGTAAATGTATATTATTTCCTTTATAATTATTAAGTAGTTTGGGGAGTGGTACTTTGAGAGTATATAAATATCCTGTCCTCTAACAATCTAAAAATTTTAGCATTCATTGATGTCCCCCATCGGAATCAATTGTTATATTGGTGTTTGTATAGTGGAAATTTCTAATTCACTTATTCTTCTATATTTGTTTTAGCTGGCATTCTGCTTTAAAGAAGAGCTTTTTCTTCTGCTTTCCTATGATCAAAAAAAATTTTTTTAGGGCTGGCCAAGTGCCTCGTTGGTTAGGAGTTGGCTTGGGAGCGTGAGCTCTGAGCAGCAGGGCCATGCCTGGGATCCTACATGGGCCAGTGACACTGCCCTCTACAGCTAAGATGGTGAACAACAGCTTGATCTGGAACTGGGCTGCCGTGAGTTGCCGGCAATGGCGTAGGCTCAAGTGGGGTGGCAGTGGGTCTGCAGTGGGCCTGCAGTGGCCTGCCGTTAAGTTACCGTAAGTGGCTGGCAGCCAGCGTGAGAGGCTGGCAGCTGCTGTGAGCCGCCATGAGCAGCAGTCCAATGGCCACGAGTGACTGCCTCAACCGGGAAGAGCGCAATGATCACAATACCAACATGGGCCAGTGAATCGACATCCTCCACAACTAGACTGAAGAACCAAAGGACAGCAACATGTCTATTCCCCTTCCCCGATTCCCCAATGCTGTTCCCCTCTCCCAATTCCCCAATAAAATCTATCTATCTATCTATCTATCTATCTATCTATCTATCTATCTACACACATTATTGAAAGAATGACGAGGAGAAGTTCTGAAAACAGCATCTCATTTCCACAGGGGCCCATGTTGCTGTGAGTTTCTTAAGCAAAGGCTGGACCCTCTTGTCTCCCTGGGTTTCCCTGAGTAGCCCAGGCTCCTGACTCGCCCTCCTAAGGGGTCATCCCTGACCTTTGTTCCATCCACAAGTTCTAAGCCACCTGGGATTATAGGAAAGGGTTTTCATTTTACTACAATTCAGGAGTTTCCCAAATGTCAGACACCAGGGCCAATGTCACCCTCCTCCCATTCTGCCCTTTTTTTATCTTCACCTGCTTTCTGTTGCATTGTGGTGGGTCCGAACAGAAGTTTGGAACCCAAAGAGGGAGATGGGATCCAACAAACAGAAATGCATCAGACAAATCAAGGCTGTAGTGGGTAGGTGCCTTCACTTGCAGGGAAAATGGAAGCGTTTTACACATCGACAGAGGCTAGACACCAGTTTGATAGAGGAAGGCCAATAATTTGTACTTACTGAAATCTGCAGCATTGCAAAACCACAGTTTTAAAGACAATGTCTACTTTAACCATTTGAATTTTAAAAATCCATATGGTTTTTGTAAAAAAATAAAATGTACAACAACAATGATAAAAACAATACAGAGGAGTATTTAAAACTGAAAAGTGTCTCCTCACCTTTCCTCAATCCCATCCATCAGCGACATCCACTGGCATTAGTTTCTCTAAACCATTTTGTGGGGAGTATGAGAAAGTATGACAGCGTCCTCGGAGATGCGGGTGGTGCCCCTCTGCAGGGACAAGCTCATCCTTGGACACCCATTACTTCCCTGCCTCCCCGCCAACAGCAGGCGATTCTAAATATGTGAGTAGCTCTGCTTCCCTATGAGCCAGAACAGAACCTCCATGACCCCTGTTCATTCTTGGCCCCTTCCCTCCTTCTGCAGTGGCAAGCCCAGGCAAGGACTTGGCCTTACCAGGTAGTTTGCGGTGTTCTTATCCCCCTGAGATCTCTGCTCTTCTCCAGATTTTTTCAACTGCTTCAGATGCTCCAGCTGCTTCTGAATTTGTTCCTGGAAAAAGAGCATTTGTTGAAGCTTAAACTTGGCTCCTGCCCCCTTAGTTGGTGCCAATCCTAGAGAGGAAAATCTGCTTCAGGGAGTAAAACTGAGGGTGCTACAGCCAAGAGCACATGGAGGGGTGCCCAGGAGAGGAAGAATGAATTCTCCACACCTAGGGAAGCAGAGCCAAGAGAAAGAAATATTCCTAATGATCTCCTGTGAACACCTAGATTCAGCCATACCTGAAGTGAGACTCCCTTGGACCTCTAAGCTACGTGAACTGGTAAATTTTCTCTTTGCTGTCCTGGTTTGTACTGTGTTTTTGCTATTTACAGCTCAAGAATGCTGGCTAATGCACCAACCTCCCAGTGTCCCTGGGAAAATGAAGCAAGCCCAGCGTGTCCACGTGCCCAGCAGAGAAGGGCCCCCAGACAGGAAGCCCTACCTTGTATTCCAGGGCAGCCTCCTGGATGGGGCGCATCCGGTGGCCTCGATGCTCCTGACTCAGGCTGCAGATGAGGCAAATAGGCTCCCTGTGGTCCTCGCAGAAGAGCAACTGGACCTGCTTCATGTGACGCTCACATTGCGGCAAGGCCTTGGGGCTCAGGCTGGCCATCTCTGGGCCCTCCTGCTGCTTGTGGCCTCCAGTATTCTTCCTTGGGATCGAGGCCTGATGCTGGCGGCAGCTGGGTGAGCAACCACCTGAGGCTTTGGGATCCCTATAAGCACCGGAGCAGCTGCAGGAATCATGCACACAGGTGCCACCAACCGGGTCTCCTTTCTGGGCACAGCAAAGGGGCCTCACAGCTTCGTCTTGCGGCATCTCTGGGGCTATGGCAGTAAAAAAATCTCCTGAGTGACAAACCCAGGATGTTACAAAGGAGTGATACAAAAGCACATCAGAGAGAGAGAGCCTGCTTTTGGGACATGTGAGTTCTCTGTTAGACTGTGGCCACTTCCTAGCTTGTCCTCCCCTTATGCCCCTCCTGCAAGGCAGCAGACAAGCCTCTTGGACTGAGGGCTAAGGGCTAGATCTCATGACAGTTCTCAGACCTAGAATTCTTGGGCATTTATTGTGAAGAAAGGCCTTTTGCCATAACTTCTGTGCCTTCCTCCTGCACATACACTGATCTAGCAGGCGATATAGATAGCAAAACATTCGGACTAGTGTTTGCTTTGCCACTTAAGACCACCTAGGCTGCTCATGGCTCGAGTGGGAACTCCATGGGGACAGTAGATGGCTCATAGCTGGCCCCTAGCAGAGTCCCTGGCACATGGTAGCCTTTGGGAAGCATGTGTTGAATGGAAGGAACAAATGAACCGCTTCTCACACCCAGGTTCAGGAAGTATTAAATGAAAGTAAAGAAGAGGACTTTATGAGGCTGAAGGGTATAATCCGTCATGATGATGTACAACTATGACTATCTCTGAAGTAAAACCATAGCACAACTTCATAATGCAGAAATGACAGAAGATACAAGAAGAAATAGAAACACATTCAATCCATCAGTGCCCTCCCACCTCCTCCTCTCGCAGGGTCCCAGGAATTTATATCACAGCTATAAGTGAGACTGCAAGAGGCCCCTTAGTTATCATTCTCCCCGCCTACCCTTGTGATAGAATTGATTACTGCTGGTATGGCTGTTCCCCACTCCCAAATAAAATTACATTTCTCAGCCTCTTTTGTAGTTAGGTGTAGCCATTTGACTACATTCTGGCCAATGGATGTAAATGGATCAGCTTCTAGAAGCTAAGTGATACCATTCTCCTTTGTCCCTTCCTGCTGCCTGGAATGAAGCAGGAATCATGAGCTTGAAAGTAAACTTGGTAGAGCAGAAAAACAGCAGGAGCCTGGGTTCCTGGCCCATGGAGTACCGCATCTATCATGGGCCACCTATGTGACACTTATGAGAAAGAGCAGCAAACTTCTCTTTTGTTTCAGATACTGTTATGGTGTTTCTGTCATTCACAACCCAACATAATCCTGATTTCTTCCTCCTTAGTCAAAGAGACCTAGGATTTTATTTTATTTATTTATTTATTTACTTATTTTTTTTTTTAAGCTGAGCCATCCTGCTACCTGTTGGCAGCTCAGCAGCTGCTCAGCTCAGGCCGGGAATCGAACCGCTGTTGCTCAGAGCTCAAACGCTTGAGTGAGCTCTTAACCAACTGAGCCACTCGGCTGGCCCAAGACCTAGGATTTTAGCCAACAGCTCTCAGCCCCATGACATTACTGCAATGGGATTATTGGGAGAAGGGGATATTTTTACCTAGTCTTTCCCAGATGCTCAACCTGGGGTCCATGAAGCCCTTGGAATTCTAAAGCAGGACTTCAGAGAGTCTAAGAAGTAACTGAAATTTGATGCAACATTTTGTGAAGATGTGCATATATAGATTTTTATTTTCAGGATTCATAGCCTCAAACAGATTCTCAAAGGGTTTGGGACCTCAGAAGGCACCCAAGGATCTAGTGACATAAATACATTGGGATTAAAAGGAGGTTTATGAGGGAATACCTGCACAGGTCACTTATTCCCTAAGTATGCCAGGACTTTTGCATTCTGGAGTCCTTTCTTACCTGAAGATGGAGGAACTTTGGGATTTGAAGATTCATGGAGCACACTGCCGACCACCTGCCCCAAGGTCTCAGAGGTCTCTGGACCCTCAATTCCCTTTTTCTCTGAAGGTGCTGTGGCTTCGGGATGCTCATAGGTCGTCTCCTCTCCAGCCAATGTTACATTGGAAGATGTATTTCTGAATGCCACCCCACCCAGGATCACACAATGTTCTGGATTTCCGGAGCCTTTCTCTGGAGTCACAGTATCCCCTGCATCCAGAGTGGCCACTTCACTGGGGTTTGCTGCTGAGTCCAGAGTCTCACTTCTCATTTTCTCTTGAGGCAGAAGAGTTTTTGGATTGGGAGCTTCTCTTTCTCCTGAAGTAATGGTAAATTCAAGACTTTTGGGTCGCTTGTTTTTTGAAGGTAAATTTGCTTCAGATATCTTGCATTCCTTCCTTCCTGGGGACCCAGCAAATGACCCACCAGAGAGTCCTTGGAGCCTTCCTGCAGAGCTGGCGTTCCTGCGCACGACAACACTTGACAACACTTTCTCCCCTTGCAGCTTGCTGGGGAAGGGACTTCTTCTGGAAGACAGAGTCCCGCCCCTGGCTCCTGGCTTGCCCTGCACATCCAGGCCCTCAGAGACCTTCTGATCTCTCCGTTTGCCCTGAGGCTTCTTCTGGGGCCCTCTCCCAGCCTCAGGCTGGCTGCCTGATAGGCTGGCTGCCCCATAACCACTTTGCCGCTGCCTGTCACCTTCCGGGCCACCTGGTATCCTCAGGCTCTTGGGCTTTTTCTCCCCAGAGAAAGAAGACATTGCTGAACAGTCGGTGCCATTTTCTTGTATTGGGTATTCTGAAAGAACAATGAGATAGTTGGGAGCTCAGAGCCAAGGGCTGGAGGAAGGGAGAGAAGGGAGAAATCCCCTTTGAAATTAGAGAAGTTCAGAACGTTCTAGACAACAGCATTCAATTACCATTAAATAAGAGATTACAAATTGGGGCCAGCCGAGTGGCGCCTGGTTAAGAGTTGGCTTGTGGCGCCAGCTCTGAGCAGCAGGACCCCGGTTCGTATCCCACATAGAGGGCCAGTGATGCTGCACCCTCTACAGCTAAGATGGTGAACAACAGCTAGACCTGGAGCTGGGCTGCTCTGAGTTGCCAGCTATGGCATAGGCTGCAGTGGAGCTGGCCGCTGGCCGGTGGCAGATGGCATGCACTTTCGTCATGAGCTGCCGTGAGCGGCCGTTCAATGGCCAGCGAGCGACTGCCTCACCTGGGAAGAGCGCAATGATAATACCAACATGGGCCAGTGAATTGACGTCCTTCATGACTAGACTGAAGAACAAAAGGACAGCAACTAGTCTTCCTTTTCCCCAATTCCCCAATGCTGTTCCCCTTCCCCAATTCCCCAATAAAATCTTTAAAAAAAAAACATACAAATTATTCGTTATATATTTTTCAAATAGTGTTTTCAGATTTTTTTAGGCAGGAGAACTTGTTTCCAATATAAGAGTTCCAAAAACAGAATTCTTCATACATAAATAAAAACCCTAGTTTATTGGTATGAATTTGTGTGTGACTATAGATGGACAAAACTCATAAAATCAATCAATAAACAACAAGTGTTGGCGAGGATGTAGAGAAAAGGGAACCCTTGTGTGCTGTTGGTGGGATCGCGAATTGGTGCAGCCACTATGAAAAACAGTTTGGAGGTTTCTCAAAAAATTAAAAATAGAAATACCTTATGACCCAGTAATTCCACTCCTAGGTATTTATCCAAAGAAATCCAAAACACTAATTTGAAAAAAATATGCACCCTATGTTTACTGCAGTGCTAGTTGCAATAGCAAAAATATGGAAACAACCCAAGTGTCCATCAATAGATGATTGGATAAATGAATTGTGGTATATTTATACAATTGAGTATTATTCTGCCATAAATAACAATGAAATTTTACCATTTGCAACAACATGGATGGACCTAGAGGATATTATGCTAAGTGAAATAAGTTAGACTGAGCAACACCAATACCATATGATCTCGCTTATATGTGGAATCTAAAGAACAAAATAAATGAACAAAACAGAAATAGTCATTAAAAGCAGAAATCAAGTAGGCCACATTCTTTGATCACAATGTAATAAAATCAGAAAGTACAGCAAAAAGGCAGCAGAAGAACAAGGAGAAGGAGAGAAAAAAGGAAAGAAAAGATAAAAGGAAGAAAGAAGGAGAGAGGGAAGGAGAGAAAGAAAGAGGGATGGAGGTAAGGAGGGAGAGAAGTGAAAGAGGGAGGAAGGAAAAGAAAAGAAAGGAAAAAGTCCTCTTGAGAATTCTGAAATGCCTTTGTAAAATGTGTTTAAAGAAGAGCTCAAAACTACAATTAGGTGGGTAACAATGAGAAGATTACCTATCGACCCTGTCAATGTGATTGGTTAGAAAGCCCTTTTGCTGGGCCGGCCGAGTGGCGCGATGGTTAAGAACTCGCTTGGGATGCCAGAGGGCCCCGGTTCGGATCCCACATATGAGGGCCAGTGACACTGCCCTCTACAGCTAAGATGCTGAACAACAGCTCAACCTGGAGCTGGGCTGCTGTGAGTAGCTGGCGACGGCGTAGGCTGCAGTCCCTGTAGCAGTGGGTTGCCATGGGCTACCGTATGTAGCCAGCAGCCAGCGTGAGCGGCCAGCAGCCGCAGTGAGCGGCCAGCAGCCGCAGTGAGCGGCCGTCCAGAAGCCGGCGACTGATCTGCCTCGCCAGGGAAGAGCGCAATGATGGTGCCAACTTGGGACAGTGAAGCAGTGTCCTCCACAACTAGATTGAAGAACAAAACGACAGCAACTTGTCTGTTCCCCTTCCCCTAATTCCCCAGTACTGTTCCCATCCCCCCAATTACCCAATAAAAATCTTTAAAAAAAAAAAAGAAAAAGAAAGCCCTTTTGCTTACACAGATGTTTGTACACAAGTGTTAATCATAAATGATTAAAAAAAAAAAGGAATTCTCTACAAATGGGCTCCTGCCTCTCCTGATCCTTCCCAGAGTCAGAATCTCAACGTTTTTTAAAAAATGTTTTTAATTTTTAAATTTTTTTTTAAAGCCATTGGGCTTAGCTTTACTAATCTGGCTCCAAAGACCAGAGCAGGGAAAGGGACTTCTCGGTCAAAGTCACTAGCGTCATGGTAGATCTGGGATTCTTAACCCCCAAGTCAAAGTGCATTGGTCTGAACACATACTCATTCTTGAACCTTCCACCCCATCCCAACAGTTACAATGGTAGAGGAGGGGGCATGGGACCTACTTACCTGGGCCAATCGCCCTGTGGAGCTCCTCTGCCAGAAGGTGCTGGTTGATGGCCTTCAGGACCTTCAGGGTCAGCTGCACAGCACATCTCTCCCCATAGTGAGAGACCAGCAGATTGGCCAGCTTCACTTGCCTAGCTGTCTGGAGCTGGCCCCTGGGTATCCGGGGGTGCTCCTTCTCCAGGCTGGTGTTCTGCAGCTTGAACTTGAACTTCTCAAAGTCATAAGGCAACAGCTCCTCCAGGGAGTGTAACAGATGGTCACTCGGGGTCTTGGTCATGGTGTTGACCAGGAGAGGCTGGAGCCAGCTGTCTGGCTTCTGAGAGGAGAAGAAGCCTTCTGTCCTGGAGCCCAGGGTGGTAAGTGAGAAGGGGCAGCTTGTGAAATAACGGAAAAGGCACAGGAAATGCTCTGTGCTTCGGTGGTAAGTGAGGTTATACGAGTGTCATTGCTGGCTTGTGTTCTTTTTCTTGCAGTTTTTGAGGCTTTTCCAGCTGGGAGGGCTAAATGCCTTCCCTCCAATGCCCCAGCTCTCACCTCCAGGGGCTGGACTGTAGAGTGGTAGGTAAGCCTGTGAGGGGAGTCTGGGATTGGATTCCAGTCTCTTGATCCTTGGACAGACACTCAGATGCTTCCCTCTCTCCTCCTCCCAGCATTTGGGGATGAGGGGTGGGAACAGAGCTCCTGGAGAGGACCATGATAAGGTCAGCCCCTTTAGCCAGCTGTTCTCTGCCAGACTCTTGGGATTTAACTGACACTCCAGAGCCAATGGTGAGAATGGGGGGCAGCAAATACAGCCCTGCAAGCTTTGTGGCTCCCTGCTCAAGAAGGCAGGCAAGACCAGAAGGGCTCTGCCAGGAGACAATCCCTGGTGTCACCCCTGTTCATGCAATTCCAGTTGTCTGGTACTTCCAGCAAGGGCCTCATAATGCAATGCCTGGGACCACCATCCTGAGCTGTTTGTTCCCAGAGCTGACTCTGCCCTGGTTTCCTGTGAACATACCTGGGAGAAGATGCTCGTCTATACACATTTACTGAACACATATTCTGGACACCATGCCAGGATGCTGGAGAAACAAGGTGGAAAAGGTATAGACGTCCTTTGGAGCCCAGTGTGGGGCCCCAGAGGCGGTTCCAAAGCTCATGGAAGTTGTATGTGGGTAAGCTGACTTCTTCGTCAGTTAACTGCTTCTGTCTTCCTGCATATCCTGATTTTTATCCCCAACTTTTTGTTTTGAAAAATTTCAAACCTACAGAAAAGTTGGGAACATAATACAATGAACACTTATATAACTTTTACCTAGATTAGCCAACTGTTTACATTTTATAGTATTTGATGATATTCTTCCCTCCTCCCCTCTCTTCCTCTCCCTTTCCCTCCATTCTCCTCCCCTCCCCATGCATTTAGGCACACATTTTTTCTTTTTCTGAACCATTTGGTAATGAATTGAAAACATTATCACATATCACTCCGAATACCCTAGATGCCCTAAATACTAAGAACAAGGATACAAGGATATTATTTTAAATAATCAGAATACAGTAATCTCACTCAAGAAATTTAACGTTGTTAAAGCAAATTTCCCCATTTGTCCTGATAATGTCCTTGACAGTTTTTTGTTTTTTTCAATACAGGGTCCAATCAGAGTTCTTGCATTGCTTTTAGTTGTCATGTCTCTGTAGTATCCTTCCATGTAGAACACTTTCACAGTCCCCAGCTTTTTTCTTAATTCTTTCAAGACATTAATGTTTTTGAAAAGTCCATTCCAAGCAGAATGTTCCTCAATTTAGATTTGTGTGATTGTTTCCTCATTATTAGACTGAGGGTACATCCAAGGCATACTAAGAACTCTCCATTACAAAAGGACATTTTTTCTTTGTAATTAATGAACATGATTGTGTAGAAATGTCTGGTTCTCCCACAATATTTCCATGGTTTTAGCATCCACTGAGGATCCTTTCTTAAATCAATTGCTATAATGGTGGTTACAAAATGGTGATATTTCTATCACTTAATTGGCATCATTTGCATATCCTGGTTTAAACTTTATCTTTCTCATGACATTTTTGGCTTATAAATGTTTTGTTGGTAATACAGTTACCCTTCAATGGTGCTTCCTCTGGGCCAGGCACTGCTTGCTTTATATCCATTATCTCTTAGAATTTCTGCACTTCCCCTTCAGGGCAGGATTTGTCATCCCCATTTACACCCAGGATTGGTAGGTAGCTTAGTCACTTGCCCAGAGCCAGGATTCAAACCTACTCTATTACTCACTTTGCAAAATTGTCACCCTGCATGATAATAATTTATTTTACTATGCAACACTAACTATGGATGCCACTTTTTCAGCTCATCTGAGAGGCTCAAAATGGGCCATACTGACCACTTCCACAGGTCAGTGACAACATTCTGAAGCCTGGCTGAACAAACAGCCTTGTGTGTGACCAGCTTGGGATCAACACTTCAATGAGTTCTGGTTGGTTGAATTTATCTTATTGTCCATGTGGCCCATGTGCTTTTAATTTTACAGAGTATTCAGTGATTTTGGTTTAATAACTGATATAACACCCAGTTCTCTGGATCCAGCTGAGAAAATAGCCCCAACCCAACATCTTCCCTAAAAAAAATGGGTAAACCCAAATGCATATTTCTGATGCAAATGTTGGATTGTGAAATTCTAAGGTTGGGCCAGAAGGATGTTGACTGGGGTGTCTCTGGGACCCGGACCGGTACGAGATTCCGGAACACAGCAGCGCAGGCACCTCACAGGCATCCTCCCACTGCTGACGCAGAAATTATGAAATTGTGCAATGACATGCAGTATCCTTTGTATTCTTGGGTCCCTGACCCTGTCTTGACTAGCTAGGAAACTCCTCTAAGCTGAGACTATGCCAGAATTGGATAGGAAATGGGGCTTTCCAGTCTACTGCACAGGCTCTTTTGCAAGTGCAGTGACATCTTTTACAATGGGCAATTCAGAGGAAGGGACTTCTTGGAGAGCAGTGTTTTGATGCTACTAAGTCCTTTCCAGGTCAAGAGAGTCTTACAAAAACTTCCATTTTTCAAGGTTCCAGTGAGTTTTTTAAATGAAGAAATATGAAAATAGGATTATGGCTATTGGGATGAATTTTAAATCTTTAACAATTAAAGTGAAGTATTGATGAATTCCTATTTCTTGTTCCCCTGTGCTGTATGTGTCCGCTTATTTGGGACAACATAATAAATCTAAATCCAATGCAACTGGTACAAAGGGTCCAACCTCTGCTTTTAACCTAAGTAATGTAATACACAGTTGAGTCACCCTGGCTTTTACTCCATTTCGATCAGGGGTTTCACTTTTTACCACATTCATTTTTGCATCAGTTTGGGATTTTTAAATCAATATGTATTTTTATAATAAGAAAAAAGATATTTTAAAAAAAGTACTTTATAATTATGATTGCCTCTAAGGTGCAATCAGCCCTGTCCCCGCAACCATCACGATAAAGGATGTCTACAAAGTAGTACTTAAATATAATACATATTTGCTATTGAGAAAAATGGAAAGAATTGCTGGGAAAATGATGGAAGAGTTCCAGTGTTAATCTGGAGTTGAAAATAGTGGATCCCATTGTGATGTGAACTCTCCCTTGCCCCCCAGTATATTGAATTTTAAGGGAGAAATTTTGAGACTTTGAGGGGTTATTCATTCAAGTTCTGAGTGAATTCCACTGAGAAACATACTTGTAACTGTGCTGAGAGCAAACGGGGTTCTGGGACAACCTGCAACCTCCTAATCAGAATGGAAACAGAAGGAGAGGAAGCCAGCTTCCCAAAGTGGGATGCAGTGGGTGACCTTGACGTGTTGAGGTAGTCCAGTAATGGGATCCAAATAGGTCCCCAACCAGCTCACCAATGAGAACTTTATTTACAGTATGGTAATGTTAAGCAAGAGGCTTTGTAAGCTATAAAGTGTTTATACACATTATTCCGATTGTTAACTCTAGATGGGGGGGGTCAGTGGGTGTTCATTTTACTATTTACATTTTTCTGTGTACTTACACATTTAAAAACTGAAAAAATTTTGTTCTACCACTATTTAGAAGGGACCCTCTAGGAGGTTGACTTTGTGCATACAGTCCCTGACCTCCAAAGGCTTAAAGGTCAGCGGAGGAGGAAAACACAGTTGCCTGGAAGTCTACTGCTCTCCCTTCCCTACACCCTTTGACGTTCGGTTTACATAATCCTGTCCCACTCTCATCTCCCCGTCCTTTCACCCCCGGCAGAGCTGACCCTTCCTGCCCGGTGCTTCTGTCATTCCCGCTCACCACCTCGTATTGAAACTGTTCTGTTTGGAAGCTGCACAAAATTGTGGGGAAACACAGGACCCCAAGATCTAGGACCCATGTGACCTGATCAAGTTACTCGACTTCTCTGAGCCTTTTTTTTTCTTTTGTCAAATGGATTGTTGGGGAATTCAATGAGAAAGTATGCAAAAGTGCCTGGCACCGTGGGATAAGTGTTTACTTCATTCTTTGGTATTCCACGCCTGTCACGTCTTGGGCAGCGTCAGTGAAGGTGGACAGAAGATCTCCGCCTCCAGGACTTCCTCCGCCCACACCCCGCGGTTCCTGTCTTGGGGACAGGAAGGCGCCGTCTTGGCGGGTGTCACGCTCTGCAGCACCTCCCTGGGGCAACAGCTCCGAGGGGAAGAGGCTTGGGGCAGGCTGGGGAAGAGCGGCTAGAGGATAAAGGCGAAGTGTCAGCGCAGGGCCCCGACCGACAGGCAGGCGCAGAGCCTCGCGGGCATGCTCGAGGTAAGGGAAGCCCAGAGAGGCGCGACCCACACCCGGGGCTCGCTTCCGTCACGCAGCCCCACGGCGACCTTAGTCTCCAGCACCCCGCGCACAAAAGCGCCGGCAACTTTGAAGTACATACATCTCCGGCGTTGGCGCTGTTGATGGGGTTGGCAGGCCCAGCAGCCTGTAGTTGTTTCTCGTCAGAGCAGCCGAGCGCCCCGCGCGGAGGAGGAGCGGTTGTCGCTGCTGATGTCGGAGCACAACCTGGGGGATATGGAGTAGGCGTAGTTCCCGGCGGCTCCGGGCTCCTGGGCTTCTGCGCGTCTGGGCTGCGCTGAAGCCCTTGATTCCCCCAAGCGCTCTCACCCTTATGAACCTGTAGACCTCGTTCACTCATGTTTACGGCAAACTATTGTATTTACCGAGTGCCTGGTATGTACCACTTAACTGTGCTAGAAGGATGGTCACGTCAGGCAGGATTCCTGTCCCTGGAAGCTTATCTCAAGGGAGAAGGGGAGTAAGCCGATAATTTCCAGTCATGATAAGGGCTGTGAAAGAAAAGGGTCCTTTAACCGAACACCAGAACTGCCATTTTCTCGGTTTTCAAACACTGCCCCGAGGAACCCTAGAATGCAGATTCTTAAACTTCTCTGTATCATGATTCCTGTTGAAAAATCTAGTAAAATGCTATGTTCCACAGGGATGATGGTTTTGTTCAGAAAAGAGTACATGCATTTACAATTTCATATATCAGTTCGGGGCATTCATGGATTTCCTGAAGTCCACCTGGGGGAACCTAGTAGGGGGCTGGAGGCATAGACAACCCCACCCTCACGTCAGTCAGAGCAGCCCCCACTTTATAGCTGTTTTGCATATCTTCCCTTCAAGAAAGATTTCCTTTGATCCA